TATATATATATATATACACTGAGCCTGAGCACTCTACAAGCACAGGTGGAATAGTACCTCTCCGATGGAAGAAGGGACAGTGGGTTTCCCCGCACTCTCCTGCTTCTTGGCCCATTCCAATTTGCTCTGCAGCGCGATGTTGTTGGGCTCAACGCTGGCAGCGAACCTGCGGCAACACGTTCACGCAAAAACCAGCAATCCCAACAACCCAAATACGAGACGATGAAGGCCGGAGTAGAAGAGAGCAAGCAGAACAGAAGTAAATGAACCAGGACGTGACAGAAGGGAACCCTACACATCGTGCAAGACCAGAGCCGAAAAAGAAATTTCCGACGGATGTATACATATAAAGCGACACGGCAACACACATGGGTTCATCAGCATTCGTCTTCTGCATACTTGAGGTTGGTCACTGTGTATTCGTGGCCGCAGTAGACCAGTGTCTCCGCAGGAAGGGAGCCAATGGTCTTGATCAATGCCCGATGCATCTGTTGCGCGTCCCCTTCAAAGAAACGGCCACAGCCAGCGAGGAAAAGAGTGTCTCCTGCAGTACACAGTGTAGCGTTGGCAATTTCAATACTCAGCACACGAAAAGACGGGAGCGTATTGCTGTTTGTGAGCACACCGGCGCAGCGACGGAGGTGAGAAGGCATCCCACAACAGAGCGCAGCAAGAAGAACCTGCATATCTTCTGAAGAAAAGAAGAGAGTTAATGCAGAGCAGGACGCAACACAAGAGTCAAGAAAGGTAGAGGAAGTGTTGTTGTGGTAACCTGTGAAGATAATGGGCTTCGCGTTCATATCGGAGCGGCTCTCCACATAGTATAGCACGTGCCCGCTAGTGTGACAGGGCGCATGCAGCACTTTTACCAGCAGGTCACCTGCATGCAAATCGCTCACAAAATGGGAGCAATTAACCGTCGTGCCATTCGTCCAAGCCCCTCTCCCCCCCCAAAAAAACAGTCGCAACGCACTCCCCTACTTCCTTGCACCTGAACCGAGGTTCCCTATGGTTAAACCAACAATCCGTCACTGCTTATTTTCTTTTCCAGTGTGATTTGGGTTCAGCTCACCTAGTCTAAACGTCTCGCCGTCAGTGACGGCCCTCGTCCTTCCTGGTGTCTCCTCATACGCCGAGCCCACAACCTCGATTCCGGGGACCAACTTCTTGATTTTTTCATTGCCACCTGTCGACGAGGCATGGTACTCCCAATAAAAAAATACATGAATGCTACAATCATTACTACTACAATACACAGGAGGACGACAAGAATAATACCCTTTACTATAAATCCTTTACTATAAATAAGAAAACAAACAACCTCATGCAATGCATGCTAGCTATCGGATTCCAATTCCTTAATGCTTTCACACCATATAGCTCTGTGTGGCAGCATAAAGAGAAGTAATTCCCAGTTCGAAGGTTACACCCAAAGGCGTCTAGCTGCAGCACAACTGCGTCTAATCGGCTACTTCTAGATTCACATCCACAAAGCAAAACAGAAAAAGCAAACTAGATGCCGAACCTGAATGGTCGAAGTGCCTGTGGGTGCACAAGCAAGTCTCCAAAGTAACGCCATGTTCCTTCGCCGCAGCTACGACCTGTGCATACAGCCAAAAGGCAACTTTTACTACTGTAGATCCAGTGCCTCCCAGTATAAACAACAAATAGGGACAAATGATCAGCACCACGGTGAACTTGCCTCTAAGTGCACACTGATGGATACCAAACAAATGTTCATAAACATATGCCCAAAGTACGTTCAGCAACTCAGCAGGAGTCATTTTACACCCAAATTCTTCGTCTCAAGCGCTAGGGAAAAGGAAACACAACTAAGCACCTTCTCTGGCTCAGCAGGGTCTACACACGCCGCGGTTTTTGTCTTCCTGCGAAAAGCAAAGTAGGGGCGCAGTCAAGAGCCATAAAGGTCTGCGAACGACTTGGAGTGCTGTGCTCGCCGTTTTTGGTTCATGTGATTTTTGCAAAACGCAGCCGACTGTGCAAACGTACTTATCAATTAGCAAATAGGCGTAATTGTCCGACAACGTCGGAACAGGGACAACCTCGGCGCAAGCCTACACCACAGCAGCAGAGTTGTCAGAAAAAGTTGTAGCTGGCATACGGGGTGCGGTTTGTAGGCAGTCGCACTATCACACTAGCAGGACTGTATCACCATTTAGGTACAAACATCCAACTATATTTGCAAAATGCGTCGTAGGTGAAGACGAAAGAGGCTGGCTGTTAGGGGACACAGCAGCCGCAGAGGAATGGCAGTCCCTCATTGCGGCCACAAGCATTCGACACACAGGACCGAGCCCTCCCAAAGAAGGGACTCCACAACCGCAGCGCACCATCTCAGGAGTACAAGAAGAAAGAAGGGACGCCGTCAGGAAGGTGCTGGGAGGACGGAAGACACCCTGCAGCCGCTTGCAGGAGCACAGATAGAGCTCAACACTGAGTTCAAGGTTTGCAGTTCTGTTGCTGTTGTGCTGTTGTTGTTGCTATTTCTGCTGTTAATGCTGCTGTGTGGTGTTTACAGATGCACCTGGGGTGCGCTCGACTTTGTCTGAAGACACAAGAAACGGGGAGGCCGTGGAGGCGCCAGAGAAATAGCAGACGAAGACAGTAGGTACCCCAAGGAGTGAAGCCGAGAAACCCAAGAAGCGGGGCGCATCAAGATCATGAGCAAGATCGGGTCGAAGAGCTCCTCTTTTGATGTAGCCGCAACGCGCCCAGTGGGTACCACACCAGGCCAGCAGGCAGCAAAACGGACGGACTGGGAACCCTCAGGAGCAGGTTTAAAGTAAGATGCTTAAGTAGAATAGCAATAAAACTTGGACGGAAGGAAATGTGTTACCACATGACGATACTGCTGTGTCACGCGCACACTGACGATCCCGAGAGTCACGTGAGTCTAAGGTACTCATCATAATAGGTCGGCGCCATAGGCATGCGTCTCAGTGTAAACTTGCATTCAGATGCGTATAGAACTGAATAGTGAGAAGCGGAGACTACATGACCCGTTTTTGTTTTGATCGAATTGTGAGGAAAAGAAATTAAAGACTAGCCTGCGACTCTATGCGGTGTTACGGGCGTTGTTGTGGGTGGACGATCCGGACGTAACCAAAGGCAGTGAGGCCCGAGGTGGGCAGTTCATCTTTCGCGTTTTTATATATTTCTGATTTTCGGGTGTCCTTTGTTTGTACAGCTGCTCTGTAGTCTGAAATGAAGGGTCTCAAAGAACGCCCGGTTGCCACCCATGTCGTCAGAGGCTGTTGGATCCTTGTCTTCCTGCATATTGTCTCATGTGCAGCTGCCTCGTCGTCCTCTACTTCCCTAGGTGAGAAGAATGGCAAAAGCTGCATCATGAAGCCTCCTTCATGTCTTGTCTAACCTGTAGCGACCGTCAGCCCCCGCGCCTACTCGAACGCCCTCTGGCTGTAGTCAGTCGATTTGGAAGAGGGCAGCGCGACACCTCCTCTCTAGTTGCACAGAATGTGGTGGAGATTTCGTTTCTGTATTCCTTTTGAGGTAGAAGAGTGTAATTAGTGTTAGACAAGCCGTCGTGAGCAGCAGCACTTCTGCGGCGAGCTGCACGGTTCTTTTGTTGCGCCTTGCAAGAAAGTTGTATGAGGACTCCCACCTGCCGTACATATCTCCCAAAGCAGAAGTTAACACTTCCTGCTACAGCATTTATCTCCCGCTTTCCTGTGCAGACCGACAGGGTGAGGCGGCACTGCTGACGCGCGTGGAGTTAAAGCATGATACGTTTCCAACGTATGTCTACGGTAAATCGAAGTCCGGCGCCCCCGTTATCTACAAGCCGAAGCTTAGCGGCTTACGCGACTTCCGGAAGCTGTTTGTGCTGCAGACTGATTCTTACATGATCGATTTGCTGCTGCAGGTGCGCGCATGCCGTAGGTAGTGTTCGCCACCGTGCTACTAGTGTGCCGAAACGGGCCCGTTTTCGTGCATAGTTCATGTTTTGTGTTATACGCTTTTAGCTGCACCTGTGGTGAAGCGGGGGTGGGAGTTGGCAGAAGAGTTTCCAGTAAATATGACACTGCCCTGAGATGTGATGCAGGAAACCAATATGAACTCGTTTACTTTAGTCTTAGATTTTTCAGCGCTGTCAAGACGGCTGCGTGTTCCGACACTGGAAATGTGGGACTCTCTAAGGACGGTTGTTGACCCGTTGCCTTCTGCTGTCAAGGCCTCCATTGAGCAAATGGTCACACGGGTGTTTGAACGGTGCGAGGCGGTGGTGGTGGTGAACGCGACGACGTTTCTCAAGCTGCTAAAACCCGTTATTTCGCTCATGGTGCCTGTTAGCAACGAGAAATTATTTGTTTCTACAGACTTGTCTGCGCTTTTTAAAGTAGTTCCCGCTACGCAAGTGCCTAGGCCTTACAACCCATCCGCTGTTGATGATGTCAGCAGCAACGCACAGACGTCCAAGTTGTATCAACTGCTTAATGCTAGAGCGCAGGAGCTTCTGGGGAGACCTCTTGCAGTTGATATTGTTGGAGAGGGATCTATCTCGAAGGATGAAATGGGACCAGAGTCGCCTGCTAAATTATACGCTGTACCGGAGGCAGAAGCACCAGCAGCAGCTGCAGATGATGCAGCAACTGCAGATGATGCAGCAGCAGCAAAAGGGGCATCTACAACAACAGAGCAAGAAGAAGCGGATGAGGATGAGGATGATCTTTTCGATGACATTGACTAAGATTGTGGCGGAGGGAAATACGGGTGGGGGACGTGCAGCGGCGCCATTTCTTTCACCTGCCCCTTTCGGAGCTATCAGGATGCATCAATAAGGTGTTCTGCAGCACCATGGAAGAAGCTAGTGCCAGCGGCGAAACGAAACACAATCAGGAATTCTGTACAGGGTGAATCTTCACCGATGTTCCTACATTGTCTCAACCTGTCGTGTTCGAAATATGGAGGAGGGGGGTTTTTTAATGCAAGGTAAACGATGGAGAAGGAGTAGAATTCGCCGCTCCCACCGCTGGCTATTTGAGCCATTAAACCCACAGGGTAACTGGTGGGGTGGTGGGGGGCTTTTCGTTCACAATGGTGGCTGCCATCAACGTGAGATAAGCACCATTATCTTTTTAGAGGGAAAATTACACGCTTTTTTTTCCAGCAGATAGACGTGCCCTATATATATACATATTTGTATGTATATTATATGGCAACTTCTCGTGCGTCGGCGCATAATTTATGAGTGTGTACGAATAATGGCACTATTGAGGCTGCCTACAGCGTTTCATACACATTATCAACAAGCCCTGCATATTTTAGAGTGCGCTAACCTGTATAGCTGGCTGCTTTGTCTATGAGTTCGCTCGGGGGGATACGCACAGCATTTGTTTTTAAGGGGCAATCAACTGAAGGACGAGGGACGCAATAGCACCTCAGGGATTCACCGCAGAGTGGTGCTGTTTATTTTACCCGAAAGGGCTCCTATAGAAGCCTCCAGTAGCCTACGAGCTGGAAAAAGGTTATTTCAGTAACAATTCTCGGTGGAAGGCGTCCCTGGACGGCCAAATTGCACATTCCCCCTCAGGTCGACAGTTCCGGTTGGTTCTTGCATGATGAAATGCAATTAATTACTCTTGTTAATATGTAACGGAGTGATATGTTGGTGGACACAATCAGCACAGAAGATTTCGACTTAAGTCGTCCAAAGGCTTGTTGGCTGGTGACCCGATGACCCACTACGGCCCACTCGATATACCCGATTTGCAGTGAACCAACACACTGAAATATCTCTTCAAAAAATCATAGAATTTGCTTCCTGTAGAGTACAAGACTTGCTGAACCTTCTGGTTCAATCGGATGACACTTGTAGGCGTATCTCACATTGTGGGCCGTGAGCGACACGCTGACCGGGGAACTGGCGTCATTAAACACAACAACACCAACCAAGAATTTCCTCAGTTTTCACACTTTCCGCCTTCCCCTTATTGATTATGCAGCAATATCGGTAGCTTTGTAGATTGACCGACGTTCAGCCGTTAAGGGCCGTCGGTTGGATACAGCAGGACGCGACACGCCAAATCGGGTAGTTGTGACTCCTAGATAAGTTGTGTAAGTCCTTGGATTTTTTCGAGACAATGGGGAGTGAAAATGATGAGGCGGGACTCAGTGAAAAACATGTTGAGCCAGTGAAGAGTGTGCCAGGAGAAGCACTAATCAACGCCTGCGCGACTGTTGAAGTATCTCCCGAGCCGTCAGTCGAAGCTGCACAACCCCTGACGGCTTCAACCCAAAAAGAGTCATTTGAACTCGTTGGAAGGGCCACTGCTGGTCTTTTAGCAGCTGCATACTGTTCTCAAGACCCGAAAGTGATCCACAAACTCGCTGAGGCGCTGAACCTAACAGGGGACCCTTTACTCGTAGGCAGCGAATTTGCAGATAGCCCAGCGGAAGGTCGAAAAAACGACATTACAGATTCTTCAACATCTACACCCCAACCGGAAGCAGAAGAAGAAAGCTTTGTCTCGAGCCACGATCAAGAACTTGCCTGTAACAGCTCATTCTGTTTACAGCGTGTTCCGCTGGGTTCTGTCTTGTTTTCCGGAAGTCTGACAATCAGCCAACAGGGTTCTCTGAGTGTGCTTGGGCCAGGCAAGAACACACATTCGCTCAGAATTTGTCTTCGTCTCCTACTGTTTTCTCAGTGGCTGCCCTGTCTCCCCGTGTCCCGGCTAGAAACTGCTGCATGCCAAGTAATGACTGCAGAATCCAGCATTAAATTCGGTGCAGGAGAATAGGGGAGAAAGCGAACAGAGCACTCCTGAGACGGTTGGCGTTTTGTGAGCAGCTACACTGTGCTTCGAAAATGGTACGAAGTACACTGGGCTGCTGTGCAGTCGAATGCGGCTTTGTGGAGAGGCCTCAATTGAGTGGCCCACCGGGGCCACTTACAAAGGACAGGTACTCAACAAGTTGCGCAGTGTAGCAGTACACTTTGCTGCAGCCTATCTAATAATGGAAATCTCCATTGTACGGCCTGTGGATGAATCGAGTAAAGCGATGTACAAGCATAGTGTTGACGTGCTTTTAAGTTGGTTTGAGCCCAAAAGAAATGCAAGAGCCTCTTCGACTAGTCCAATGCAAAATATTACTGTGACACGATTGAAGAGAAGTGATGGCTACGAACCATGGAGTAGTTCTTATTTTCCCGTCAATGTTTGTCACAGGTTACTGCAGGACTTCGCCACGGCGTCGGCACATTCACTTCGGCAGATGGGTGCGGCGAATAAGGGTGCAAAAAGGGGGTCTGAAGACATTTTTCAAGGCACATGGGCGATGCGCATGTTGAGGGCACCACCTGGAAGGCGTATAAATGCCCAAATATACGCACCTGAGTCCTACCAACAAGATCTAAAGAACCGCGGTGTGTTGCCTTCTCAGGAAGTTCACCTACGAAGGAGAATGGTATCAAGGGGTGCGCAGTGGCTGGGGTGTCCTGAGCAGCGCTGACGGAAGCAGATACAGCGGTACGCTTTCAGTAACCGCATTTTGGTAGTGTAGTCCTGCACTGGATATGATATAATGGTGCAGTAGTTCCTTTTGTTTAAGGGCAGTTCCAGAGATGAGGTTCGACCGAAACTCCTGAGATGCTGCATGTTAACCCACATGTGAAGGGTTCTGGAGCACTTGCAAAATTACTGAAAATTCTTACGCACAAAGCATCAGGTAGCATACTTACAGCAGAATTGCTGCAGACCTTTGCAGGCAGCTCACGGATCTCCTTTCTCATGAAGAGTGAGCTGGCGGGGCATGGCTGCCTGCTGAGGCGTTGCAGGTGAATGGGTTGCTGGCCGTCGTCACGGATTCGGGGAGCAGGTCTTTGCGGACGGTAGCAGATACGAGGGACAGTGGGTGGACGGGCTGCAAGAAGGGCAGGGGCTGATGGTCTGGAAGGAGCCCTCAGTGCAGTATGTTGGTGCGAGTGGCTCAACATTTTACCAGAACTCCAAACTTCTGCATCTACCCAACAACCTATCGCTCCGCTAGATAACGCACGACTTTCGCCTGTATTTTCGGGATAACTGGCATATATCACCATTTATGTTCCTTGAAGCATTGACATCGGAGACACGGTGCAGTGTCGCCCCAGCATTTCATCATTCACTAAATCTTTTATGCTTTTCAGGAGAGTGGAGACAGGGCACTGTCTCAGGATGGGGTCGCCAAACGTGGATCGAAGCTCCTGACTTCGACGGCGGAGGGGCCTGTAGGAATTTCTAATATGCTAACTGGGCTTATTCCTGTTGTCTCACCATTCAAGCTCCGAATCAGAAGTGGGTGCACACCAAAGCCAGAGAAATCACTGTCCACATTTTGATTTAGTGGCGTGCTCCTCATTGGTGCAGGGACCGTCGGGCGCAACTTGCAGCAAAACCAATATGAAGGGCAATTCCGGGTAACGACCTGCTAGTTGCTGCACAGCAAGCATGTGATTCATCCGATTAGCGACATAGCACCTGCTTCTTCCGAAGTGGAAAAAACTTCCAATAGCTTCATTTTGCAGCCGTTTCCTTCTCAAGACGACTCGCCAAAAGTTCGCGCCACCCTCTAAGGTGACTTGAGCTGACGATCACCACATCCTGCGTCATCTGCGAAACAGAACGGCCGTCGAGAAGGTGTTGGGGCATTCAGTTATTCGAACGGTGCCCGATATGAAGGGTCGTGGATAGCCGACCAAAAACATGGAATTGGGACATTCAAATCCGAGACAGGGGCCCTCTATGAAGGTAAACGACGACGCAGAGAAGCCCACAAATTTCTGAGGCGGTGGTTTGTTTCGTCCACTTCCATGAATGCGTTTTAATCCTTCAGACGAAGGCTTTGAATGGAGCCACTTCCCGAGGTCGAATTGAACTTTCAGGCCTATTTGTTTACGACCGGATGGCGGAAGCACCGCCCAATATTCTTGATGATCCTGTACGAGCTCTTGTCGACCTGTCCACTGCGCAGCAGGCCGAGGTCTACAGGCACCTGGAGGAGTACAACGGGCAAAGCCTTTGGAATCAAGCCCCGGCATGCGAGCGTCTGGCTGCAAGAACGATACGCAGTGTCTACCGGACTATGTTGAGGTAAATGAAATACCCGTCGTTTGTCTGCATCGAATCGAAGCTTTCTGTCAGTATACTTTACAGCATTTCTTGGGTTGTCAAGCGGCCAAGGTCCACGGAAAGGAGCATCATCAGAGTAATTTGTGGTGGGAATTGAAACCTGTAGACTAACGGCGTTTTAGGCGGAAGTCTGAGTTAGTCTTGGAATAACTGCCCGTGCAGGAATGTTTGCGTTCTTCGCCGAGTATATGGTGCCTATCGTCGGTTTGCGCCAATGCCTCATAGCGACCCTTACGTGCTGTCTTGTGCCCAGTTTTGGTACGTAAAGAAACATCACAGCACGTCTTGTATGCCTCATGCATGCATTTAAACGTCAGCATGCATGCTGACGTTCAGACAGCTTCTCCACTGGCTGCAAGCAGTCGTCCTCTGGAGTAGCCTCCACAGTAGTTGATCATCCAGCAATCCTTAATGCCCCTGGCTTTCACAGCTTCTGTAGCTTCCTGCACGATCGACCCTTCAGGTGTCTTGCCTTCGACGCCGACCTTCTTAGCCCTTCGTCCTCTCTTTATGACACAGCAAAGGTATTTCATGTCGATGACACCTTAAGCTCGTTCGACATGCCTGCCTGCTTGCAATCCACTGTGTGCATGCAAAATGTCCCTGCTCTATATTTGAGAAGTATTGCTCCGGTGTGTATGTTTGAAAGCTGCTACTTAGCTCCGGAAGTGACAAGAACTTTCAACGCGCTCGACGGCTTTCCGGTGGGACGCCGGCAACATTGACAGTTATAGAGAAAGAAAGGAGGCGCAGTTCGCAAAGCATAGACTTCCGGTTAACTGATCTTGCAGCAGGCGCACAAGGTTCACCGCGTACAGCAATACCTACTCCAGCACCACAACCTGCAACACTGTGGGAAGCGCAAGATGAAGCACAAGCCACCACAGCCTATGCAGCATCTACACTAAAGGCTGATCAACAGCAGGACCCTGAAAATCATTTTCCTGAGGGTGCAGCCGCTCCTGGCATGGCCATGAGCACTCCGGAGACCCCAAAACAAACTCTGGGCAGGTCTCATAAGGCACGGTCATCCGCTTATGCAGCTATTGCTGAAGACTCCCTCCGCCTCCACCGCAGGCCCGTGTTATTCACTGCGTTCTTAAGGGCTCTAGTTTTGCTGCTGCAGATACGCCTGCGTAGCCTCCGACGAGAAAACAGAAATAATTCAGCTCGTGGCTCAGAGGCTTCATCTCCTGGGGCTGTCTTTGAGGGCCTCGATTTAGATGACCCCAACTGCTTGAGTCTTGCTTGGATAGCGCTGTGCCGTAAACTCCGGATTTTCAGTGATACCCTTGAGAGGCAGATACAGAATGAGTTCAGAGGAGCCTCTCACAATAATAAAGACCCACAGAAGGAATATGAGAATCAGGCAACTGGAAAAAGCACCCAACAAGCAGATTCCGGTGGTTCTGGGTCAAGCAGCTTTAGTAGACAGTCTAGTGAGCAGTCCCATCTGAAAGAAGGCGTGCCTCCGCAACCACCACTTCGAAGGGAAGGCTCGCTGTCTCAGCAGCTGAAAGGATCCCCCTCAGGACAGGGGAGAATGAAGCCGTCCATTAACAGGCAACCGTCAGGAACGGCGTCAACGAGTACCAGGAAGACCCCAGACGCTGCTCGCTGGGTAACTGCCACGGGGGGTGCTGCAGACGACAGTCGACCACAAGACATATCTCAAAGCCAAGGCGGCAGTCGTGAAGAAAGCTTTGTGCTTGCGGGAGAAGTCGACGAAATAGCTGCCTGTGCAGGCCGTCATGTGGAAGTGTTCCGCCAGGCTGCTTTCGCAGAAAAGTCCTGCATCCTCGATGACGCACTCCACAAAGCCTTGTTCTCCAGCTCCCGACAACAGCCCGACTCAAGTAGGCCAGCATTTTATTTTGCGTTTTCTCCTGAAACTCAGCTGTATTCACAACACATGTTAGAGACTCCGCCAGTGTGCTGAAACAGTCGCGCGCTCCGGCATACGCTTTGCGTTTTCTTCAAGGCGGAATACAGGGGGCGATGGTGTGCAGCGTTCGAGTGTTGTTTCGCCTGCTAGATGTAAGTTGGCCGTTGGTTGCACATTTGCTCACTCATCGTCTGCCGGGATGCATCCATGCTTACACAAGGACATCTCTCCACGTGCAAGTCTAGGGCCGAAATGGATTTCCTGGCTCAAGGGTTCAGACAGTTTTGTGTAGCAAAACCCTTTAGCCAAAGGTAGCTATATGGCTTGAAGTCGAACGTTCAATCTGTTGTTTACTCACGCTTGCATTTCTCGGCTGTGTTGCATTCGGCGCAGATAGCAGGCCTCGTACTATCCAGTGATAATCAACAGGTAGACAGGGGAGCTGCAGACGGTGAGCAGCACTATTAGTCTAGGCAATGGACGGCCTTGGGGGAAGAAATGTTTGTCCTGGCTGACTATTCTGCATACGGATCACACACAGTATTTTGCAGAAACTTAGTATTGAAGGTCTAGAGTAGGAACACTACAGAGGGTGAATTGCTGGGCAAAGTTTCTGCTGTAGTGTTCCTACTCTAGACCTTCAATACTAAGTTGTAAAGTACCTAGACGGAGATGTGGCTCTCAGGGAACTGCGTTGTGCATTTGTGTTCTCCGGTTTCTTCTAGCTCGAGGAGGCTTCCCTGCAGGGTCTCCCCGTTCGAGCACAGGTTCTGGAACGGCACCACGCAGCAGAAGAAGCAGCTTGGGAGGATCTATCTTGCTGCCAAGACTGTCTGCGAGTCGCGGGAGACTTTCACGAAGCGTAGGCTAAACAGCACCACTCCACCGCTCTTAATGGCTTGTTTCTGGAAGTTTGCACCCAGGCAAATCACTAGTAAATGATTCCCCTTGTGCTGTTGGCTACGCAGAGACCCAGCAAGGCAGTAGAATGGCCAACAAATGCAGGAGGTGAAGACACATAACCCTGAGATCGATAGCGATTCTTAAGCATTCTAGGGCGGGGACTAGTGAAAAACAGTTTCCAAATGCTTTGTTGGACAGTTGCAGCGCGGGGGGGGGGGGGGG